ACATGAAATGAAATATTTACCCCTTGTTATTTAACCAGTAGTCAGTATAGTAAATAAGTCCTGAACCAAGCACTTTGAATTAAACCCTAAAATAGCACATTAGGGGTTCAGCTCCATAGCTTTGGAAATATTAAAGATATTCTATTTAAAAACAGGATTGTTTTTGTGGTTCATAACTCCAGCTACAGGAGAGATTATTGAGAGAAACTAATCTAATCCTAGAGAGACGCATCCAGGAGGCAAGAGGAACTGAATCATCAAAGGAAAGGATTTCCAATGAAGAGGACAGCAGCATAACAGTGGGTGCCTAATTACAGCGCGTCAGAGCAGACTCGATTAATTGAGTCTATTGGAGCTAGTGGTAATTACTGCATTTCAGCAGACTCCAGTGTCACATGTCTCAGCATCCTTGTGCTGAAAAATGGCGGGGGGGGGCGGGGAATTTAACTAAAACTCATTGAATAAGCTATAGTTAAAGTGCCCCCACCACCATTTTTCAGTGCAGGGATGCTGATACATGAGACGCTCTGGGCACTTTAATTACAGTGGCTTTCGGAGCTCTGTATAAATGCCCAGTGTGGCCAGGCTCCTGGGGTGGCTGCTTCAAACAAATGCAGCAGTTGCTTCTAGTTGACACCAGAGCTGCTGCCACAATAATATTGCTGCAGCAAAAGCCAGTTTTTTGCCCCAAATCCCTGTCAGCACCCAGGGCAGTTGCCTCTGTCACCCCACCCTAGTTACACTACTGGAACAGAAGGCTCTCTGTAGTGTGACAGTAGATGATACAAGGCTTCTCAATGTACAGAGCAGAAGAAGACAGTTGTTCACTGACTGGGCATGGAGCTTCAAAGGAATCCAAGAAACAAGGTTTATGAGCAACACAAAAAATAGTTGGAGGACACCACCTAACAGAATAAAGATAGCAACTGGATGGAAGCAAATATTGCATTTATAGTGTGAAAACAAATAAGTAATGGGAGGCTTGACCACCCCCCTCCCTGATTCTTCTACCCCCCCTCCCCCCTTGCCCTCTCAGTTACATTTAACAGGACTTTAGCTCTTGCCTATAAAGGCAATTTGCTCCTATCAATAAATCTTCTTAAAATCATTTAAAACCAAATGTAATATGACAATATCTGGAAATAACCAAGAAATTCCTCATTAATTCTAGTAAGATTTGTAACCCTGATTTAGGAAGCAATGTTGGAGGCATATTAGTAGCTTATCTCTATAAAAAAACTTTCGTGAGAGATGCCTGGAATGTCATAATAACCTAGAGATCTAAATTGTCATGGTCATTTATGATATGTAATAGCTAAGAAACAGTTTAACAGATACCAAAAGATTTAGTATTTATATCTGGCACTGTAAGTCAGTATAGTGTAGCAAGCAAGTAAGGCAGAGCTGCTGTTAAGGCAGAAGGAAAGGAGGAATGTGAGGCCACAGCAGTTAGATATCATGTAGATAAGAAAAGGTAACTGAGAGCAAATTAATAGACTGTCTCAGATAGTGATAGAGAAGACAGGAACCATCAACATAAGATTAGCTTAGCAATTGACAGACACTTGGCAATGGATGTACAAGATGTCGTACAAGCAGATAGAATTATCCAGGTGAAAGTTCCATCACTGTGATGTGACAATTAATTGAACCAGAGCTTTCAGGGAAGCAGAAGAAAGACTTAAATGAGCAGTAAAATGCAGGAGTCTAAGCACAAAAGTAATTATTCACTTTAAAAATGTTTTTAATGCACATTTAAAAATAAGGTTATAGCCCAGGGAAACACACTCAGAAGGCAGGACCCCTCAAAAAAATGTTTAGTCCATAAGCACTGGTGTCTGTGGATATTGAACCTTGTCACATTACTGACCTTTCAAGAATGTGATTCATGTGAGGTGTCTTGGGCAAGGAAATGAAATTCAGTCCCTTTTTAGCACTAGCATATGTTAGACCTTTACTGCATAGTGTCAGAAGAAAAGGGGTCAGATTTGCCAGCATAAATCATTACATTTGCATTTATATCCATGCAACAATTATGATTAACATCATCATCAGATCCAGTCCTAAATACTTCATACATGGAACAAATAAAGTGTCTTGAATCCTCACTCTGAAAGATAATATAACTGAAAACTGGAGGGAGTGGCTCCAGTGCGTCCAAATTTCCAAAGTAATTGATATCTCAGGTATGCCAGGGAAGGTTCTCCACATTCCTACTTGCAGTGGGCCACAAAATATACAATACAGTCTAATGAAAGAATAGAATATGCCCTATATATTTGTATATATATGTATTTTTCATTAGAAATTAGTGTATAAATTAAGGGAAGACAGATAAGTATTAAATAGTTAGAATTAGCTCTGAACATGCGTTTAAGAATAACTGCCATTGATACTTTCAGGTGTTATGAGAGACTGCCAAATACAGATCAAAACATGTAATTATTCATCGTAGCAAGTACTCCACTGGTAATGAAGGTGAGTAATAATGAATGACCTTGGAATAGCTAGGCCATACTTCCCTAATTAGAACCCTTTTTATATACTTTGTAATATAGCAGGCAAGGAAATAATGAATTGGGGTTTACTTGTGGATTGCTAACATATTACAAAAGAAAAAGACATCTTCTTTCAGAAAAAAAGGCATTCAAGAAAAATACAAGTTTATGTTCCAGTAACCAAAGACCGAAAAATGTAAAAATATTTGTAAACAAGTTGCAATAGTTTACACCTGTAAAAAAAGTTGCTGTTAGGTCCATTTGCAAAACCATGTGATTTTGTGTAGCTGTTATCTTTAATACTAATTTTTAAATATGTTTGAAATACATGACTTTGTGAGGTGATCTAAGAAATGGCAGGAAATGAACCAAAACAACAGAACAGGATCAGAAGATTAATTTGTAATGGCAATACTGAAATTATTCTGACACAAAAAGATCAAGGCAAAGGAAGTCATGGCTTGCTGGGGCACGAGGGTGATAAAGTGCGAAGGCTGCTTGCCGCCTGGCCCTGCACTTTAACATACTCGTGTCCCAGCCAGCCCCTTTGCTGCCCAACACCACCACCCAGAGCTCAGGGCTGCTCCGCCCTGGCTCGAAGTGCTGCAGTTGCAGGCACACGTGTAAACATTGTGCCTGGGAGCAATTTTCTCCGGCCCCAACTATACAGAGTTTATCACATTGCATTAATGGCATTTGTACATGCACTCCGTGTAGGCAATGAATTGTCATAATGGTCCTGCATAATTTTTAGCAAGCTAAGTTTTAGCATGGATGATGGATGACTGATGGCTTTATGCAGTGAAAGCTGAAAAAAGCCAAATAAAACTAGAAAAGTCAGAATAATATGAGTTTAAAGAAGTCATTGATGAGCAGGTCCATTTGGGTACAGTAATTCTGGCTAAAACGAGAGCCAGAGTCCTTTTCAAATATAGGTTAGGGAGTAAGCATATTTAAACCTGAGACTCTCAATTGTTTAACCAAAGCAGATTTGGGGGATGGGGGATAAAAAAATATTATTATACCTTGGAATAAATCAAAACCCCAAAAGATGTCATTTTACTCTTTTAATAGGATGGGATTAAATTCAATACTGGCTCACCTGCTGTTTTAGGTATTGCCATGGCAACAACTTCCTCTCCCCCCCAAAAGAAAAGAACTATAAAGCAGTCAGCCTGAAAAGAAACAAAAAGGAAAAGATGTGAGCAAATTACTACAAGCTAACATCACACTTTCATCTTAAAAGACATATCTGCACCATCAAAGAGCAATTCTACCCATGATAACATGAATGGGTATAGTGTAGATACCCTTTTGTGGCCCCCTGTGCCTTCCAAAGGCTTTCTGTCTCAAATATACTTACTAGCGCTTGCTCAGTGCTCACACTAATGTAGTATGGCTACATTGCATCATTCTGGGGGATAGTACACATGGAGCAGGCAGGTCATTTTTAATCGTGGCACTTCAAGGACAGACCTTGGATGGTGAAGATGCTCTCTCAGAGTTTAATACTGGTTGTGCCAGTGATGTCCTTTGTGGCCTAAATACATTTTATGCTTCAGTTAATTTTGTGCAAAATTGCACTGAGAACATGTATCTGTCTGCCTTTAAGCTGCAAAGTAAAGATTAACTAGCATTTGTACAGCATGCTCAAGATGAAAGGAACTATAATACCATGTTTTTCATTATGGTTATGAGAGTTGTTATTACCAAACAAAGGGAGAAGAATGTAATCATTATTTATTTAATTCCCTAACATATAAGAACTCAAGCCAAATTTAATGTATATGAAAGTATAAATTATAAAAATAGTTTATAAATTATAACTAGATTATTATGACATCTAAAAAGTCAATAAGTTGCTTTTAACCATGCTCATCTACAATAGTACACACATCTATACACATAAATCCTACAATAATCTAGTTTGAGCTGTATAACACAGGCCAAAGAAACTCATTCAGTCATTTCCTCATTGAGTTCATAACTTACATTTTCAGATGTAGCGTATCCTTTAGAAAGACATCCAGTCTTTTTTCCGGCTCAGTGCTATTCATTGTCATACAGAAGCCTCTTGCACCTGTATACATGCCAACCTTTGAATGTCCCAAACGCTAGGAATTATCAGCTATTCCTTCATAGCTCCTCTCAGCTTGGCAATCATAACTGTTCACATCTGCACTCAGCTTTGCTACACTTAGAGATACCATACTGCACTTAAACTCTGGCTGAAATAAATTAACACTCATTTTCTATAATGGCAATGACCACAATATTTTGTTTTAATTTATGGAGGTTAAACTCCTGATTCTGGATTTTCTCCCCAACACCAAACACTGTCTCTTGAGAGTGTTACTTATGATAGTGATACTTATGTGGGAAAAAACTAACATAATCTGCATCATTTCTTTAGCCCTGGAAATCTTGCTGTATTTGTAATAGTACATGGGCATCTATTATGAATAAGGTGTAAACTTCTCATGTATGGCACTCGCTATTTTTCTGTCTGAATCATTCAACAGACAAAACCAAAAAAATGCAGTGGATGCTTAACTAGCAGTGACACCTAAGCAATGCCCCCAAGCAGCAGCAAACAATAAGCCAGATGGTTAAAACAACCCGCATATGATTTGAGTTTTCCCATTGCAAGGTGAAACTAAGTATAAATGCACAAATCACAGCTGACTATAATGTAATGCTATATTGGGAGGCAAGAAGTGATTATGTTTGTCAACCATATTTGGGCATGTTTACACTAACATTAGGATATACTAACCAGGAACATGCAGATAACTACACACCCATTCCCATGTGTATTTAAAGGTAGTCTCAGATGCCTTCTACTAACTATGGAGAACTGATGTTTGCCAGTCCAATGCCAGGAGGAGCACTGGCAGTTTGGTTCTCTTGTATAATTAGTGAAGTATATAATCAACTCCTAATTTCTACCCCAAGGACAGTGTTTTCTGACCTGTTAGTGATACGGATACTGCTATCTGGGTAAAAATGTGGCATCCTGCCTTGTATCTACTACAGTACATATGATATGCAGCCATTCATCATGGCATAGGGGACCAGATCTATACCTTTAACGAGCTGTATTTACTGCAACCAAAGCCCAAAATCTACATTTTGCTCTATTCTGACAAGTTTATACAGGAGTTGTAGCCAGACAATACAATCCTTCTTTTTTCTGCTTGGTCTTCAAGGCCAGTGGTGCTCAAACTTTTTACAGGTAGACCAAACCTTAAAATCAGAAAAGGGACAAGGTCTAGAAGAGAAGTGTCTGGGGTGTGGCCACACCCTGTTTGGCTGTAATTTAGTGGCAGGGGAAACAGGGAATGAGTACTGGCAGCACTTACCCCTGGGGCTCTGGAGCTGTGCAGAAAGTAGTGGCTCCACCCAGAGTCCATGCTAACATGCGGGTAAACTCAGAGAGATCACAGTGCATGCACAGCTGTGGCAAGAAATATGACAATGTGCCAGTGAGCTTATTCACTCTGGTTGAGCACCACTGTGCCCTTAATAGTTCCCTTATAAGCTATCCAAGCCCTATCATTTATTTTGTTGCAAGGAACAAGTTCTCTCTATGTTGCTCCATCACAATAACTAGAATTCAAGGGCTATAATAACAAATATACCTCTGCCCTTCCAAAGGAAGTCAAGAGGGTTGATGTATGGGGACACAGGCCCATTGAGTCCCAATAGGGACCCGTGGCCATTGTGAAGGTTGCTTCACCAGGCCTACCACCTCCATGGCGAACACAACTTTTCCTACCTCAATTTCTTTAGATCCATAGACTCATTCCTTTTCCCACTGGGAGATTCCAACCTGCTCTTCATCCCTCCTCCTACAATCTTTTCACCCTCTGGTTTCCCAATCCATGCTGTGTCCCCCTTCCTAGTTTTCAGTCTTCATACACCTTGGAAGAGGTGAAGCCAGATGCAGTCAGTCAATTTGTTCACAAAGAACAAATGTCTACTTTGACTACCCCTTACAGACCTATCTCCCTATATCCAGGAAAGGGGTTGTAAGCACCACACCAACATGAAGTGAATTACAGAACTGAGGACCAAGTTTGTTGCATGAGAAATATTAATATACACCAGTCTTGTAACACTAGAAGTGACTAATATGACCATTGTATTTGGCAATACCATTTGGCTCTGAGACACAAAGGGAAGGTTCAGTGCTTGGGTATTAGAGAAAGGGAGCACAGATACAAAGCTAACTTTCTCGTATAAAAGCTGCAACTTCTTATATGACATTTCTATGTATAGGCAAAAAGGGAAGAAAAATGAGATGTCACAAACTGTGAGCAGAAGCAGGAACTTAGCAAGTTAATATTTGAAAACATGTTGTGGGACAATAAATAACATTTCTGATGACACCTATGACATTTCAAACTGGCATTTTTTTGTTCTGAATTGTGTGTGTGTGTGTGATCTCAAATTGTCTCAATTATATATAATTTCAATTATATATAATCTTGATATATACTATACATTTTGGTTTTATAATTTTGAGATATATATAATTGACATAACTTGAGATAAATAATATTTATTATATATATAGTATCTCTCAAATTCTCTCTCGCTCTCTCTCTCTCTCTCTCTATATACATTTCGAAAGTATAAAATCAGAATGAAAGGTGTCAAACTGAAAAAAAAATCAGAGTAGAATGATACAATCACAGAATGAAAAGGTTTGAAGGAACTTCAATAATTAGATAATCTAATCCACTATTAATTTATTCAATAAAAAATATTTATCTATTTGACCTGGCAAATCATTAGCCACAAAAGGGCGTATATGCATATATAAAACAGTTTTTTAAAGTATTTGATTTTTCATTCTGAAATTACCTTTCTAGAATAAATTAGCTGAATTTAACTTTTGAAAAAAAAGTTGGGGGAAAATATTTGAAAATAAGGGACAAATTAAATAAGGGACAAATTACATTCTTTGGGTTAATGCAAAACAAGTTGTCTAAGATTTAGGTTCCGCCACCAAACTGACAAATCAATTATTAGCTCTAAATGCACCACCTTGATTTTTTTTAAGTTTGATGGGAGCAAGGAAGTGTCTCTCTTCTTTTTGTTGGCAAGCTTATTTGGATAGATATGATATCTTTTAATAAACCAACTAAATAGCTGGAGAAAAGGTCTTTCAAGCTTTTGAGCACAAACACCCTTCTTCAGTCATTGGGAGACTCTGCTGTTGTTCTGAGATCCCCAAGCTAAAAGTGTGACAAGAAGTTTGTGAAAATGTAAATAGGTAAATAGATAAAGTTAGGAAGACAATGGGTAGAGATTGTTGGGAGGGGGCTGGGGAAGGCAGGGAAAGAATGCAGATGGTAAGCTCAGGCAGGTACCTGGTGAATCAGATGTCAGGCAGGTTGTAATGTGTCATAAATCCAATGTCTATATTAAGTCCATGATCTTTTGTATCCAGCACATTTATGAAGTGATGTTTGTAGGCTTGTCTATCAAAAGTGTTTTGTAAGTTCCCTTTGAGGATTAGAACTGAGAGATCAGAAAGGGAGTGATTATCTTGTGAGAAGTGTGCACTCACAGATAATTGGATATTTTTGTCTTTGATGGATTTTCAGTTTGCATTCATTCTGGTATGCACTTGCTGTTTGGTTTCTCCTGCATATTTTCCATCAGGGCATTTGGTGCACTGGATGAGATGTATTACATTTCTGGAGGTGCAGGTGTAAGATCCAGGAATAGTGATGGCTCTATTGTGGGAGTTATTGTGGGAGTGGTGGAGATGTGTTGGCAGGTTTTGCATTTCTTGTCCTGTCATGCTCTGGATCCATTTGGGTTATTTTGGGTCATAGGGAGTTTGCTTCTGGTGATGAGGCTAGTGAGGTTCAGTGCTTGTTTAAAAGCTAGGATGGGTGGTTCTGGAAATATATCTTTAAGCATTTAGGTATTCTTCTACTGTGGGTTGCAATTGTTTGAGGATTTTCCATGTAGGGTCCAGGGAAGGATGGTATGTCAGAAATAATGGTGTGCAATTCACGGGGATTTTCTTTTTGTACTGCAGCAAATCTTCACATGGTATCTGAGTGGCTCTTTCAAAAGTATGATCTGTCTTTCTGGAGGAATGTCCTTGTTGAGTGAAA